ACCTCACCCTCCCCTTCTCAGAACTAGATAAATTTAAGCACAAAATAAACAAGAAAGAAGTTAAGGAGATGAATGGATTTTAGAAGAGCTAGATATGGTTACCTCTGGAGAAAATTGAATGGGGATAGAAAGGAATATACCTTTTTCTTGGTAGTACATGACACCCACACAAAAATTGACCACATGCTAGGGCATATAAACCTCACAATCCAATGCAGAAAGGCAGAAATATTAAATGCATCCTTTCAGATCATGATGCAATAAAAATTACATGTAATAAAGGCCCATAGAAAAATGGACTAAAAATTCATTGGAAACTAAATAATCTAATCCTAAAGAATGAGTGGATCAAACAACAAATCATAGAAACAATCAATAACTTCATCCAAGAGAATGACAATAATGAGACAACATAACAAAACTTATGGGATACAGCGAAAGTGGTTCTTAGAGAAAGTTTTACATCTCTAAATGATTACATAAATAAAATAGAGAAAGAACAAATCAATGAATTGGTCATGAAACTAAAAAAGCTAGAAAAAGAACAAATTAAACATCCTCAATTAAATACCAAATTAGAAATTCTGAAAACCAAAGGAGAGATTAAGAAATTAAGAAACTATTGAACTAATAAATAAAACTATGAGCTGGTTTTATGAAAAAAAAAACAATAAAATAGATAAACCTTTGGTTAATTTGATTAAAAAAAAGAAAAAAAAACCAAATTACCAACATCAAAAATGAAAAGGGTGAATTTACCACCAATGAAGAGGAAATCAAAACAATAATTACAAACTATTTTTGCCCAACTGTATGCCAATAAATTTGACAATCTTAGCGAAATGGATGAATATTTACAAAAATATAAATTGGCTCCCCAGATTAATGGAAGAGGAAATAAAATACTTAAATAACCCCATTTCAGAAAAGGAAATAAAACAAGCAATGAATGAACTCCCTAAGAAAAAATCTCCAGGGTCAGATGGATTTACAAGTGAATTCTATCAAACATTTAAAGACCAACTAATTCCAATACTATATAAACTTTTTGGAAAATAAGTGAAGAAGGAGTCCTACCAAATTCTTTTTATGATACAAATATGGTGCTTATACCTAAACCGGAAGAGTCAAAAGAGAGAAAGAAATTATAGAACAATTTCCCTAATGAATATAGATGCAACAATTTTAAATAAGATATTAGCAAAGAGATTACAGCAACTTATCTCAAGGATAATACACTATAATCAGATAGGATTTATACCAGGAATACAGGGCTAGTTCAATATTAGGAAAACTATCAGCATAATTGACCATATCAACAACAAAACTAACAGAAACCATGTGATCATCTCAATAGATTCAGAAAAAAAACTTTGGACAAAATACAGCACCCATTCTTATTAAAAAACACTAGAGAGCATAGGAATAAATGGAGTCTTCCTTAAAATAATAAGTAACATCTACCTAAAGCCTTCAGCAAGCATCATATGTAATGGCAATAAGCTAAAAGCATTTCGAATAAGATATGGAGTGAAACAAGGATATCCATTATCACCACTGTTGCTCGATATGGTACTGGAAACGTCAGCTTTAGCAATAAGAGAAGAAAAAGAAGTTGAAGGAATTAGAATAGGCAAAGAAGAAACAAAGCTATCACTCTTTGCAGATTACAAGATGGTGTACTTAGAGTAATCCTAGAGAATCAAGTAAAAAATTACTTGAAATAATAAACAAATTTAGCAAAGTTGTACAATATAGAATAAACCCATATAAATCATTGACATTTCTATATACTACTAACAAGGCCCAACAGCAAGAGATAGAAAGAGAAATTCCATTTAAAGTTACTTGGGAGTCCAACTGCCAAATCAAACTCAGGAACTATATGAACATAATTACAAAATGCTTTTCACACAATAAAGTCAGATCTAAATAATTGGAAAAATATCAGTTGCTCATGGGTAGGCCGAGCTAATATAATAAAAATGACAATTCTACCTAAATTGATTTACTTATTCAGTGCCATACCAATCAAACTGCCAAAAATTATTTTATAGAGCTAGAAAAAACAATAACAAAATTCATCTGGAAGAACAAAAGGTCCAGAATAACAAGGGAACTAATGAAAAGAAATGCAAGGGAAGGTGGCCTAGCTGTACCAGATATTAAATTGGATTATAAAACAGCAATCATCAAAACTACTTGGTACTAGCTAAGAAATAGAGTGGTGGATCACTGGAATAGGTTAGGTACGCAAGACACAATAGTCAATGACTGTAGTAATCTACAATTTGATAAATCCAAAGACTCCAGCTTCTGGGATAAGCAATCATTATTTAACAAAAACTGCTGGGAAAACTGGAAAATAGTACGGCAGAAACTAGGCATAGACCAACATTTTATACCCTATACCAAGATAAAGTCAAAATGGGCACATAATTTAGATATAAAGATTGGTACTATAAGCAAACTAGAAGAAGGAATAGTTTACCTATCTGATCTATGGGGAAGGAAAGAACAAACAAGAGATAGAGAACATTATGAATGCAAAATGGGTGATTTTGATTACATTAAATCGAAAAGTTTTTGCACACACAAAGCCAATGCAACCAAGATTAGAAGGGAAACAGAAAGCTGGGAAACAATTTGTGTAGCCAGTGTCTCTGATAAAGGCCTCATTCTAAATATATAGAGAACTGAGTCAAATTTATAAGAACACAAGTCATTCCCCAGTTGATAAATGGTCAAAGGATATGAACAGGCAGTTTTCAGAGGAAGAAATTAAAGCCATCTATAGTCATATGAAAAAATACTCTAAATCACTATTGGTTAGAGAAATGCAAATCAAAATGACTCTGAGGTACCACATCACATCTATCAGATAGGCTAACATGACAAAACAGGAAAATGATAAATGTTGGAGAAGATATGGGAAAATTGGAACACTAATGCATTGTTGGTGGAGATGTGAACTGATCCAACCATTCTGGAGAGCAATTTGAAGCTATGCCCAAAGGACTATAAAGGTGTGCATTCCCTTTAACCCAGCAATAGCACTTTTAGGGCTGTATCCCCAAGAGATCATACAAATGGGAAAAGGATCCACATGTACAAAAATATTCATAGCAGCTCTTTTTGTGATGGCAAAGAATTGGAAACTGAGGGGATGCCTATCAGTTGGGGAATGGCTGAACAAGTTGTGGTGTATGAATGTAATGGAATATTATCGTGCAATAAGAAATGATGAGCAGGCCGACTTCAGAAAAACCTGGGAAGACTTATATTGACTGATGCTGAGTGAAATGATCATAACCAGGGGAACATTGTACACAGTAACAGCCACATTGTGCGATGACTAACTTTGATAGACTTAGCTCTTCTCAGAAATGCAAGGATCTAATACAAGTTCAAAAGACTTGTGATGGAAAATGCTATCCACATCCAGAGAAAGAACTATGGAGTCTGAATGCAGATTGAAGCACATTATTTGCTCTCCTTTGCTTTTGTCATTTTGTTTTGTTTCTTTTTGCTTGAAGCTCCTCCCATTAGTTCTAATTCTTTACATGACTAATGTGAAAATATGTTTAATATGAATGTATAAGTAGATTCTGTATCAGATTGCACTCCATCTTGGGGAGGGAAGGGGAGAAAATGTAAAACTCAAAATCTTATGGAAGTGAATGTTGAAAACTGAAAATAAATAAATAAATTATAAAAAAAAGAGCTAGTTCCACCATGTGTACTAATTAATTGAAGGGTAACATTAATCAAGTCACTTTCTTTCTCTGGGTTCTAATTTCCTTTACTATCAAATTCAGAAGTTAGATTCTCACCCTCCCATCCACCCCCCTCCCAACCTGGAATGCATTCCTTCTTCAGCTTCACATTGTAGGATCCTTTGCTTTCTCCAAAGCTCAGCTTATGTGCCACCTTCTACTTGAGACCTTTCCTGATCTCCCTCAGTTGAGCACGTCCCTCCTTTAAAAGAGTAACTTTATATATATATATATAGAATATATATAGATATATATTCTATATATATTCTACATAACTATAAGTATAAATGTTGTACTGAGAGTTCTCCTCCTCTAAAAAAGTGACTTTATACATACATTGTATGTAATTAGAAGTATATATATTGTTTCCATAGATGGAATGTGAGCTCCTTGAGGGTAGGAATTATTTCATTTTTGTCTTTATTTTCCCAGCACCTAGCACAGTGGAATATAGAAAGAATACAGATTAGAATATAGAAAGTGCTTCATAAGTTCTGATTGATTGAACAGTTAACCTCTAACATCTCTTCCTGCTTAGACATTTCAGGACTTTTGGCACAGTAGAAAGAATGCTGGATTTAAAATCACAGAACCTGAGTTTTAATCCTGGTTATGCTTCTTGTTATCTGTGACACCTTGTGTACATCCTTTACCCTATCTTGGTCTCAGTCTCCTCATCTTTAAAATGAGAGGGGTGTGGGAGTGGGGCTCTCTAAGTTCACTTTCAGCTCTGAATCTTACTATGGTCCTATCACTCTTCTCAAAGGTAACTATTACTTTTTAGTATGGGCAGTCATTGCTTTTTTTAGAAACCAGAAAAGGGGAAAAGCAGATCAACATTTCCTCCTTCCTTCCTTCCTTCCTTCCTTCCTTCCTTCCTTCCTTCCTTCCTTCCTTCCTTCCTTCCTTCCTTTCTTTCTTTTTTAATTTTAGAGGCAATAAGGAACCATTGTGTTCCTGAATGTGAGACTGACAGGTTTGTGCTTAATTGTGATTAGCTTGGCAGTATTAGAGTCTTAATTGGGTGCTGATGGGGGGATGCCTTGGGTGAGTGGGAAAGGAAGGTGCCAAGGACTGCCTGAGGGGCATAAAAAGGGAGACAAGAGAGTACTAGAACTGGTGGGCACCCCACAGGCTTTGGCCTCCCTCAGGCCGGCCCTGCCCGCTGCCACATTGACTCGATGCTTTCTTAATGCTTTGATCTTACTCTCACCCTTTCTGCAGCCTCTCTGTTCATCATTGCCATGCTCCTGGCAAGCCTTAACAGCTGTTGCAACCCCTGGATCTACATGCTGTTCACAGGCCACCTCTTTCATGATTTGGTGCACCGTTTCCTCTGCTGTTCCACAAGTTACCTGAAGACCAACCCAGGGGGTGAGACCAGCGCCAGCAAAAAAAGCAACTCTTCCACCTTTGTCTTGAGCCGTAAGAGCTCCAGCCTGAAGAGCTTCACCCAGCCAGCTGGGGAGTGAAGCAGGACCCAGGCCTAGGGTTCTAAGGTCACTGGGCTTAACTTTGTGTTGCCAGGAAATTTCTGACCCACCATGGGTGTCTATGTATGAATGTATGTATATATGTATATGTATGTGAGCATAGCTTCTGTATATAGATATAACTCTGGCCCATCATTGTGGGAATATGGCACCAGAAGGATAGACCTAATAGTCAAAGTGGTCATCCCCTATGGACATTCTGTGCCCCTTCCTCTCTACTGAGCACTCACTCCTCTGGGCCTTCTGGCAAGCTCTCCTGCCTTCCCCATAAAGTGCTGATGGCTCCCCTGCTCCTCACTCCTAATCAAAGGACGGTTTCTATGGACCTGCATTTATTCTCCTCTGTTGAGATGAAAGGTAGCTTGGGACAGTGGAAAGAGAGCTGGCCTCAGAGAGGCCAAGACAGGATGAAGTCCTGCCTCTGACACATACTGTCTGTGTGACCCTGGGCAAGTCACTTCATTTTTCAGTGGCCTAGGCAACTCTTTAAGACTATATATTGGGTAGTTTCCTTACAAGGAGTTCTCTGTACCAAGGAAAGAATAGATCTTTGTAAAAAAGGAAAATCTACCAAAAATGAATGTATGTAGGCATGGTGCATTTTTGTTTGAGGTAAATATAGGACAAATGTGGGGCAATAGTGTCATTCATTGTTGGGCTACTTGCCAGCATTGTAATGAGGAATTCATTATTAGTAGGGCATGTGGGTAGAAGGAGAAGGCAAGACTGGGGATAGGAAACATAGGATTTTAAGAACTGTGTTAGCAGGGTTGAGGGAAAAAAAAATCCTGACCAGATGTTACTGTTCTGGAGAGGCAAACAGTTGCCCCTGGAGTATTGATTAACCAGGGGTTATTCATTACTGGGCTAATATAGCAATGATCACCATCTTGGACACTCTGGCACAGGCAAACAGGCCAGAAGCTTGGTAAAAAATGACCAGCTTTGTAGAGTTGATTAAACATAAGTGAATTACAGAGAAGCTGGGGCTGTAAATGAATTGCTGAAGGCTATTAACATTCCAGGCTTTCATTTGCTAGTCATTTGCATAGAGTCTGGTGAAAATAATGATAATTCTATACTCCATCCCTGTATGAGGGGTAGAGTTGATGAAGCCTTGGGAGAGGAGAATTCTTTCTTTTTCTAGCTTCTAGCTTCCGGAGAGGACACATATGGGTCTCGACTTCCTTCAGGGAGATATCCCTGGAGGAAATGTGCAGTTCCTGTTTTGAATTTTATCATTAATTTTATTACCAAAACTGAAATGTTAAATATAGCTAGATTTCGAAATTATGGGGTTCAACTTCAATTCTCTGAACAGATAATGGAATATTCCACCAAAATGAAATGGAAAAGCATTTATTAAGCATTATGCAATGTGCCAAGCACTGTGCTAAGATATAAATAGTAGAGCGAGACAGTCTCTGCACTAAAGAATCCCATATTCTAAAAATGAGCAACAACATACATAGCAGGGCAAATGGAAGGCCCAGGGGTTCTTAGGATGCAGCGGCAGAGTAGATGATAAGGGTCAAGAGTCCTTAGAGGGCAATGTCAGGTCAGATGGCAATGGCCAAGGGTCCAGAATGCATAGTGGCAGGGCAGATGGTATGGTAAATCTCAGTGGACCTTACGGAGCAATAAAAGGCCCAGTGGCAAAGCCCAGTAGGCTACCATCTTGTCAGAAGAATTGAGTTGGTGATATCCTGCTTAGCCAAGGAATGTGAACAGCCAAGTTCCTGATCAACGACTGTTCAGAGTGGGGTAGTAGGTCTGAGTGTTGGAATGAAGTGGGAGGGGGATGGGAATGTGAGGAATTAGCATTGAGCATTTGGCAAAATGGGGTAATGGAGTCTGGGATAGGGGAGCCAGAAGGACTCTCCACTGACCTATTCCTAATGGGACCTTGGGCAGTGCATTGGATTGGGGGGGGTAGGGTAGGGTAGGAAGACTGGGTTGAGGGAAGGTCCTCAGTTCCTTCAGGATCTGCTTCTGTAGATTGTAATGTATTTAGGGGTAAAACTGTGTTAGAAATTTCACGAAATAAATGTGGGAAATAAAGACTTATTTGGCAGTTTAGATTTTTGAAACTGCTTAGAAATGATGCTTTGCTTGATGCTAAGTGAGAGGCCATTACCTCTGTCCTACCAAATGCATACTATGGTATTCCTTTGTATTGCTAAAGGATGATGTTTGCCTGATGATATTGATTAATCTTCTTTTGTAATTTGCTTTACAGATTAGATGCTTAATAAAGGTTTTTCTCATGTGTGTTCTCTTTCTTTTTTTAATCCCCTCCCTCCAAGAGGGATTATTTGTGGTGGCTTTGGTGGGGGTGTTGAATTTTGTAAACTGCTACCTCAATTATCCAGTTGGCCCTTGGCTTTAGTGTCCCTGGGCGGGAGCTGGACGCATTCCCAGCTCTCTTCTCTAGTATGTCAGGATCACAACATTCCTTAGAAGCCTTCTGGTTACTTCATAGTTCTGGCATCCCTATCTTATATTGCAAAACCACATCTGCTGTTGATTACATTCTGATCCTGGGTGTGCAGAATCATTGAATGTTATTTATGGAAGGAGCCTTAGAGAACAAATAGGCTGAGCCCCTCATTTTGAAGAGGTAGAAAGTGAGACCCAGGGAGGCAGGGTTTATTTCAAAGCAACATGGTTAGTCCAGAACAGGTGTTCTGATTTTTGTTTAGTGTGCCTTTCAATGTAGACACTCTGTCTCTGTCTAACTCCACGGGCTTGTATGACATCACAGAACATAAGAAGGGACCTTTAAGACCTCCTAGCTCAAGTTCCTTATTTTTGAAAGGGTTGAATGCAACATATGGAGCCTTAGGACATAGTTGCTTAACATTCCAAGGTCCCTGGGAAAACCTGAGGTGTGTAATTAAATTCAACTAGAAATAAATGGATTGGTCTTCCAAACTTCAGATTGCCCTATCTGAACTAATAAAACATAGCAATCTCAATGCAACAAAGTGTTGCATCATTAAGGAAACATCTGGATAATTGTTTGATGCTATTCAGTTGCTGGTATAAACAACTTACCTAAGGTTACACGATGATGTGAGTATCCTTTATAGTCTCTTGCAGGTTACCTATGTCCATGTATTCTGCAAATCTGTCTCTTCCTGCCTAATAATAAACCTTATTAAGTTATTTAAGGTTTGACAATTTCATCAAGCATCTTGATGCTGGGGTTTCCCCGTAACATTCTATAGGTAAGAAAAGTGAGGTTGGGATAGGGGAAGTTACTTGTTTAAGATCTCACTGCTGTGTGGTGTAATGATTTGGAATATGTTAACCTCTGTTGGACTGGAAGGCTTCTCAGGTCCCTTCTACATCTGTTTTTCTGTGATCTGGGTTCAAAGCCTCCCACTGCTACTTACTACCAGTATATCCTTGGACAAACAGTTTTTCTTGCCTGTGTCTATGTTTTCTTCTCTATAAAACAGATGACCACTAAGGTCCCTTCTATCTCTAACTTCTTTGACCTAGAACTCAGTGAGTTAGAACTCAGATCACTTGACTTCTAGCCTTATTTGTGCTCCACTTCTTGCCAGTCCTTTATTCTCTAAGAGAACCAATGACATCATGAGGTGATGTCTTGATTTGGGTGTGAATTGGATTCAAAGGAGGTAGAGTTGAGCAAAGTTGTCAGCCCCACTCTCTCTTCCTGAGTCATCAGAGTCCAGTGGCAAGACAAAAGTCAAGATGACTGGCTCTGTGATTCTGCAGGTAGGGAGAACATCTTGTGTGGGAATTCCCAGTGCCAGCGTGCTCTATGGCTTCACGGATAGGGCCTTGGAAATTAATGACCCAATGCACAGAGATTGTAAGTGTCTTCAGGTTCCCTAAGTAGTCAGTGACAGAAGCAGCATTAAACACAGGTTTCCGTGACTCCTCCTCTCTCACTGCCCACTACACCATGTTGCTCTTAAAGTGGCAACTTCTAATCAATATAAATGTAAGAAGCTACCAGATTGTGAGTCATCCACATACCCTCACCATAGGGTTTATAGCTGGAGGGACCATCACAAGATCATCTAATCCAACCTCACCATTTTATACATGATGAAACTGAGGCTCAGAGAGAAGCAACTTACCCAAAGTTACACAATAAACACACTTCCAGTATTCTCTCCACTTAACCATGCTTGCCACTTCTTCCCATTCCCCTATGTTGAAAGGGAAGAGTCTATGAGTAGGACGAGGCATGTTTTATTGGGCTGTGTCATAGAGAGCTAATCTAAGGGACCTTAAACTCAGGACCTTCCTGCCATGGGTGACACATGAAAGCCTATTGAACCAGCCATATCCAACCTACCTGAAGAGGCTAGTGACATCTTGGGCTTCATTAAGAGTGGCACAGTTTCCATGAACAAGGAGGTGCGAGGACACCTGGAACTCTGTTCTGAGAAAACCACATCTAGACCTTTGTGTTCAGTGTTGGCAACACATTTGGGAAAAGACAGTGATAAACTCCTGCTCATTTGGGAGAGGGTGGCCAGAACGGTAAAGGACCTCAAGCCCATACCATAGGAGGATGGGTTGAAGTAACTGAGGATGTTTAGCTTGGAGAAGAGAAAGCTCAGAGAGAACAATGGAAGCAATCTGAGTCAGTGGAGAGTGCTAGATTTGGAATCAAGGATCTGGGTCCAAATCCCACTTCTGATACTTGCTGCCTGTGACTAGAGATGGTCACTTAACTTCTCTTCATCTCCATTTCTTTGGGTTTAAAATAAAGTGGTTGGGCTACATGATCTCTGGGGTCTCTTCTAGCTTTAGATTTATGATTCTGTGACACCTCTAAGGTTCATTCCAGCTCTAAATCTTAGATCCTATTATCACTAAGTACTTGAAAGGCTATGACAAGGAAGAAGGTTTAGGCTTGTTCTGTCAGACCCCAAAAGAATAGGACTTGGAGCAGCGGGTGGAGATTGCTAGGGAAACCCTTCCCCTTCACCAAAGGCATTCAAGCAAAGGCTGGGTGACCACTTGCTAGGGGTGTCATAGAGGGAAATATTTTTTGCTTATGAGTTGGACTGGATGGTTCCAGGAGTTGGTCCCTTCCAACTCTGAGATTCTGTCATTCCATGAGTCTATGAATGTTCCTTCCCTCCCTCACTCTGTATCCGTTCAGAACGGGCAGGATGAGTAAGGGGGTGAAACAAAGAAGGGAATAGTCTTCCAAGGAACTTAACAGGTGCCTCATCGCTGGAGTAAATGACTGTTGGGAAAAAAAGTCACAGCACATAGTTTCAAGGAAAGAAGTGTACACTGATCTACTGGAGGGGTCTCAGATGAGATTCAATCAATTCTTTCTTCTTCTGATGAGGTGATCCCAAAGCACTATAAGACATTATTTACAGATATTCAGAGTTAGAAAGGACTTAGTTGGCCATTCAGCCTTTACTTAAAGATCCCAATAAGGGGAACCTCACTCCCAAGGCAGTCTGTTCCCATTTTGGATAGCTTTGAGCACTTGGAAGTTTTTCCTTATCTTAAGCTTAAATTTGTGTTTTTGCACTTCATCCATTGCTAATAGTTTGTCTTGTGAGGCCAAATAGAACAAACAGAATTTTTTTTTTTGCATGACTGACTTTAGGATGTTGGAAGATAGTTACTGTATCTCCTCAGAATCTTCTCTTTTTTAGGCCAAGCATCCTGAGTTCCTCTAAAAGTATTCTTGGGAATGTAGAATATCCTTAGGGAAATGAAATAAACATTTTAGGAGGACACTTTGCTCCAATCTTTTGGACAGAAACAAAATGAACAACTACCCCCCTGCAGCCAAAACCCTTTATTGGATTCCAATCTGCCAGTCATAATTGCACGTTGTCACTAAAATATAGGGGTTTGCAGGGTTTCAGGAAACAATGACCCCAGGTGGGAAGAGGCTGGCTTCATGCCATTACAGTAAAGACTCAAAATTACAGTACAAATGAGTGCCCAGACTCATATGGTAGCTGCCCTCTGAGCAAATGGCCATCATCTTGGCTTGTGGATCCCACAGTGTGGGACAGGGACAGAATGAAGACCAGTGTGCTCAAATGTCATTATGTCATTTCCCCTTTCTCTACACATTCTTGTCTCAGAAAGAGCAACAAGTCTCTAAAAAATAAAATACGTAGAAATCCCCATGGAGTGTTGTTGTGGAACTAGATGTGACTTTACATCCCCTCTTCCCTCCCTCCCACCCTCACCCCGCCAGACTCACAGGTTTCATCTTTACCCTCCTCCCCCAATCTTATCTAGGCCTCCTTTCTCAAGGCCACTTTGATGCTGCTGAAGACTTGGCCAAGGGCAGCGAACAGGGGATGGCAGAAGGTGTGGACACAGAGGGAATAGATGCGACTGATGCACTGCATCTCAATCAGGCAGCTCTTGATGCAGGGTACCACAGCCCAGATGTGGCAGAAGGAGATGCAGGCAAAGATGAAGCCCCAGAGGAGGGCCAGCGGGACGCCCAGCAGGGTGGAGATCAGGCGGTAGCACCAATACTTGCTGACTGTGAAGGTAGTGTAGCTGACCTTCCAGACGCCATCAAAGCTGTAGGTGCCCTCAGGCTCGGCGATCACATCCTCAAAGTCCACCTGAGACCCAGTCCAGAGTGAGGGAAGAAAAGAGTACTTGTCAAAACCCAAGGTTTGGGACCAGAGAAACAGCCACCCTCAATGGCAAACTGATGCCAACTGGCATAAACAGAACCAGGATAACAACATAAATGCAGAAAATGAAAGCAAAATGGTAGCAAGTGAATGCTGTGAAATTAGAGTGATCAAGCTTGGCTCCATAGAAGAGATAGGAGAAAGTGTCTCCTCCTTTGTAGGTGGAAGGCTATTATGGGGATGCATGGGGCACCGCATATAATGTCAGACTTTTGAGATATAGTAGTCTCATTGAATTTTCTCCCCTCTTTTTTATTTTTTGTCATATGGGATGACTCTCAGAGAGGAGGAAACATTGGAAAATGTAGGAGATGTAAAAAGGTATATCAATAAATTCATTTTTAAAAATGCAACAAAATTTACAGGATAACTAGAGATTAAAAAACAACAGTAGAAGAGACTTTAGCAATCACTTAGTACGAAAATTTCAATTTGACTTATCAGAGAACTGATATGTGTATATTTTTATATACATATATAGTAACATACATACAGGGGTATGCTGGTAAATGTTTTACAACCAGATTTTGGTGGGGAGGGGGAACAAGCACCCATGGCACACTTTTAAGTTTAATCTGTGATATTAACATTTTCTCCATCACTTTCTTAAGTCTAGGCAGTTAACAGGACAATAAATCAAACCCTGATTTGAACTGTTCACTGATTTCCAAGCTGTAAATACTCATGATGAAAATTTAACTATCAGCTGGAGCACATATGAGCTGGCTCCAGCACACTCCTGATTATGATGAGGACTAGAATTCAGTTTTAACATTCAATGATGCTAGCAAGCCCTAGATTCTACCTTGGAGAAGAGATGAGAAAAGTCATCCCTGTCCATTCCATACAGGGAAAGGAGAGGGGCAGACTTCTTGGATGTGCTAGATACTTTATTAGGACAGTATTTCTTCTCTTTCTTTTTTATTCTTAGTTACAAGGGAGGGATGGCTCATTGAACAGGAGAGGGGTGCAGGAATATATCCAGAAATGAAAGTAACGTAACAATAAGAGAGAACAATATTTTTTAAACTAAATGATTCTATGCTCTGACTGTTTTTACTTTCAGCCTGGTTTCTACCTGCCTTCTTCTCTCTTCTCCCAATTATTGAAATATGTGCTCAAGAAAAGCAAACTTGCTAATAGTCCACAGAACTGAAACTCTCTGATATTATGCACAGTCAAAAATTGACTGAGTTTGAGGTGTATTTTTTTCCCCAATGAACACACAACAGCATTGACAGAGGATCTCAGACCAGCAGTCCCCAAAGCCACGGACTTCCTCCAGGGTGCCTTTGCAGACAGATGTGTAGCTAGATTAAGAGATCTTTGTGAAGAGAAACAAGTTTTATGGAGAGACAGAATAGTGAAATAGGACCCGGGGGTCTTCAGGTTCCTGACTTCTCTTGTTCTTTTCTCATTTTCCTTCTCCTTCTCCCACCTAAGATGCCCAGTGTTGACCCCTTTATCTGCTGATAGTCTATTCACGGAGCCTTCAGACACACTGGAGAGTATGTAGCTGCTGACAATTTAGCAGGGGATGTTTCTGAGTGCTTTTGCACTTTAACAGTGATTAAAATATTAAACTAATGAGGTGATTTTAAGGAAGAGACACAGCTACTCATCTCTAATAACTATAGATCTCTCTCTCTTTCTGTCTCTCTGTCTGTCTCTGTCTCTCTCTCCCTTCTTCTCTCTCTTTGTCTCTCCCCACTCTGTCTTTCCGCTCTTTCTCTGTCTCTCCTCTGTCTCTTTCTCTCTCTCTGTCTCTGTCTCTCTCTTTCTCTCTCTGTCTCTCTATCTCTCTTTCTCAAAATCCATACCCCAGGCAGTTAGTAACTATTTGACATGGTTAAATCATTTAACCTTATTCAGTCTTTGTCTCTTCATCTGTAACATGGGGATAACAATAGCACCTACCTCACAAGATTATGAGGTTCAAAGGAGATAACATACATAAAGTGCTTTGCAAACCTTACGTATCTATATAAATACTCACTATTATTATTAATAATTATTGATATACATGGCCACTGGTAGGATACTCAATTCAACTCAATTCAATAAACATTTACTAACTCTAATGCAAGGTGTTGGAGATAGAAACAAAAGTGAAACTGTTTCTGCCCTCGAGGACTTTATATTCTCTTGGGGAAACACATGTAAGCAGATAACTAAATGCCAAGTCTATACAAAGTAATATAAAGTTGTTTCCTGCTGGAGAAAGCACTAATAACTCAGTGGATGAGACTACCCGCACAGAAACAATGTGAGCAAACGTGTCTTCCTCCCGCCTACTTCTCTCAGGTTCCAATCACCGTCTGGCTCAAATGTAACTGCAAACCAGGAAATCGGCTCTATCCAGACATGGACCTATTTGAAGCAGCCTGAGGTTTTGTGATTTTTGTGCTGAGGTAGAAAAAGGCAACCAAAGGCATCAATCTGGGGGTGAGAAGTTCCTGCTCTGGCATAATGATACCAGTTATATTTAGGTCACATAAGAAAAAGGACATTTGGGTGGGCAGTGTCTCTTGGTCCTGCATGGTTCCAGCTTGGGGATCCACTGGCCATTGGCTGACAATGCACCCTTTTTGCTCCTTCCTTCTACAACAGTGGAAGAGAGGCCTGAACCTATCCAGCCTGCATTAGAAGAAATGGTAAAAGTGTGCTTTGGGTAGCTAGAAAATAGGATCAGAGGCTGAGGGAATATTATTTTGGTGACCCCCTTTGTCACAGCTGGTGTGTAATTGGAGGAGTTTTCTAGAACTGGAAATAACTTGGGAAAATAGCCAATAATAATAACAATAATAGCATTATATGTATATATACACATATATTTTGCATGTTTGCAAAGGACTTTGCATACATTATCTCCCTTGATGCTCACAACAATCCTGTGAGGTAGGTGTTAATGCTGTCTTCGTATGAGTCTGAGAGAGGTTAAATGCCTTACCAGGTTCATACAGCTAGTAAATGTGTGAAGCTGGATTTAAACTCACGTCTACTGGTCCTGTTAAGTCCATTTTCACAATATCTCTCACATTTGTTTCCTCTCTGTTCACATGGCCACCAATTTAATTCATCAACTCTTATCTTGACTATTCCAATAGACTCCTAACTGGTCTTTCTGGCTCCAATCTCTTTTCTTTCTGATTCTTCCTTTATTGGCAGCTATGGTAAGAATTTTCCCAAGACACAGGTCTGACCACATCATTCCCCTGCTCTAAAACCTTCATTGCCTCCCTATTTTCTCTCATGTAAAATACATATCCCTCAGACTGGCATTCAAGTCCTTCCATCATTGGGTTGGATAGAACTTTTCCAGATTTTTTTCACATTACTCTCCTTCATGGATTCCACTTTCCTGCCCAACTATACTACTTGCTGCCTCCCACACTCAGTAGGCCATCACCTGAGATGCACCATGATGTAGTGGAAAGAACAGCAGGTTTGGAATCATAAGACCTGGGTTTATATCCTGATGCTACCACTTATTAGCTGTGTGACCCTGGTTAAGTCACTTTACTTTTTGAGGTATCAGTTTCCCCATTTGTAAAGTGAGGTGTTTGGTTTAGATGGCCCCTAAAGTCTTTTCCAGTTCTAAGTCTACGATCCCCATGGTTCTGTCTTCACACATTTACACAGCATGTCCATTCTGCCTGGCATTTGATACCTTCTCAGCTCTACCTTTCAGAATGCTTATTTTCCTTCAGAGTTCTCTCCTTCTCTGAACTTGCTCTCTGATCACACCAGGTGAAGGTGTTCTTTCCCTTCCCAAATATTTTTTTTTAATGTACTTTGTCTGGATTTCTCCTCCTCCCCACCCCCTGCCCATCATTCCCTACCTTGTATCATACTCATCTATAAATGTGAATTCATTCTCTCCTCCAGTAAAATGTAAGCTCCTTTAGGGCAGGGACTGTTTTCTTTCTGTCTTTGCATAGCCAGTGCCTACCACATAGTGTACTTCTTAATGGGTGTTTGTGGAATTATCATGTTTTGATTTTATATGGTAACCAAGTTGGGGAAAGCAGCTATCTGAATGTCAGTATCTCTATCCTAGAATTCAATTCAGATGGGACTTGGTGTGAGTTCTTGTCACCCCATGAGTTTGAAGGTGTGGGTGAGTAGAGCCCCTCTCTCAACTTAGAGCTGCTACTTGGCACGTGCAATAAACCTTAGGGCAGGGTATTTCTCACTACTGGGAACCTTATGGCAGAGAACAGCAGCACGCAAACGTCCTTAGTCTGTAAAGCTCCTGTTTGACCTGGCACCAAGAGGCCACTTTTGGACGGGAGTAGGATTTCCCTTCAAGTACTCTTCTGAGTGTATTCTGATACCTCCTCATCCTAGAGCATTCCAAGCCATTCATGCCTCTGTGTAAGGGAGGAGAGCACTGGTCAGTGCATTCTCAGGCTAACAGGTGGTGCCAAGAACTCTTTGGTCTACACTCCACATGCATCTCCTAGGTCAGAAATTCTTGTGGTTCTGTGGCACTGTGGGAGGTGCCTTGTGTGAGAAGTCACAGTCCTTGACTTCAAGAAGCACTCAAGAAGGCCACCCTAGCTTAGGTCTACATTCTGCCTCTGCCAGGGGTGTGACAAAGAATGCTTAGTGGAGGAGGCTACCCTATGCATTATCAAAATCAGCAAGATCCCCCTCTCTCCTTAATAAAATGCTATTAATTAATTCAACAATTTTTTCTTGAGTGCCTCCTTATGTGCAAGACCACACTGTGGGGGGATGCAAAGAGATGGTCCTCAATCTCAAAGGACAAACTGTAAAAAAGTGAAACAAAAAAATAAGGCAATAGATAATTCATTGCCAAATCAGAGATATTGGCTTTAAATGCAACAGGAGCTCAGGGCATTCATTGCCCATGAATTTTTTTAAACTACATCTGAATTTCTTCATATTTTTAGCTTGTG